GCTGAGATTTTCCAGGCCACGTGAATAACGTAACTGTACATATATTTATATGCATGTGCACGCGAATAGATTTTCGTCGTTGCTGGCTGTGGACTTGAACTGTTGAAGCGACGCTATTAAGCAAATTGAGCTGCTTGAGCTTGCAGCTTACGTTTATGGATTGTATACACACGTATATATATATATATATATATATATATATACGCGCACACAAACTATAGTAATCTTCTTGCTCGCTTGTGCTTACGTATATACACGTACTTTTATTTTTATCATCTGATTGATCGTATGAGTGTGTGATGCGCCCGTATGTTGTATCATACTTTCGATGAAGCTAATGAAAATAATATGCTTTGGTTTTTTTTTATTTTTTCCAGCAAGTTATATGGTAAATCACAAACAAATATCGAAAGAAACACATTTTTGTTGAACCTTACAGATAATTTTGTTTTGTTGAATTTTACAGATAAGCTATTCACAATAATAAATTGTACTTTATATGTCAGATTTGTTTAGGGTGGTTTATGTAACGCCTATTCTTTACCTTGACTATTTTTTAAAAATCAATTTCCAACAAACAGATAAAGAAGCATTTTTGAAATTATTTGTAACGATTGTTTGATGACACATACGAATATTAACTCTCAAATGATTAAAAATTTATACCAGAGAAATTATTAATATCGTATAAAGTGGCATATAAGTCTGGTAAGAAGTAATTGTTTATACTCAAAAGATAGATGAAAAATCAATCCATATAAGGCAATCAATATTTAAAGTTAGAGCTACAGTTTAGTACCCATAATCAGCCTATTATTGAGTTTCTAAAAACATGATTATGTTGGTACATGCGCACGGTACCTTTATTTCCACTTTGCTCTTTTCGAATCATAATTATATTTTTTATTTTAATGCTAATTGTAAGTACGTATTATATTAGATTATATATATCTACAACCAAAGTTACACAGTTAGTTCGTGATTTAAAGTTCTATTAAGTACTATATTAGTCAATTGAAAATGTAGACTATCAATTCGATAAGTATTTTAAGACTTGTAATATTTCATGAACTGTTCAATTTGTAAAATATTACGATTTTTAAAAAAATACGCTCTAGCTAGGCATGCAAAATGAATGCTCTAAACTGCACGTTAAGGAAATGTCCTAGCACTTGCTCAGCACTCCATAAACAATAACAAAATATTCATTTGGTATATGAGCATGACTATTTAAATATTTATTGTTAATGTTATTCATGAATGACCTTAGCCTGTACAAATAAGACGTCGATTCTTGTACCACAATTATACCAAACTGATAGAATCAGATTACATGTTCAGGAGTTGATCGAATAAACGTTACTACTTTGATCAGGTATAGTAATCACGTGAAAGGACGATCTGATCAGTAACCATATCCTTATTTAATTTTTTTGTTCGTGATTCTGAGCGACCTGATCGCAAATCCAGCCAAAAAAATTACACCTAGCAAGTTTTGAACACCCCAACCCACCCTGTTACCAATAAATTAAAAAAATATACTGACAACTAAACTCTTAGTATCTTTTAACTTGGATTATTTTCTTTTTGATTCTTCTAGCCTAATCAAATACAATTTGTCAATTTGAATTAGACCATACTCCGTTAAATTAACGCGTGTAATCTGTTATAAAGGCAAATCCATGATTAATTGGCAATCAAATGAATTAGAAAAAAAAAACCACGAGAGAATATTCAACTTTTCGTTTCAATCATTCAAACATACTTTCACTTGCTTCCATCAGATGTGGCTCTACGCCAGGTCTGTAGAAAAATCTAATTTTCACGTGCTTTGTTCTGACAAAATTAATCCTGACTGACCCTTCGATGGATTTAATTGATTTCGTGTACATCAGCCGATTGCTGTAGTGCTTGTTCTTGACTTGACACGCTAACCACAAGCTCATGTCAGCTTGGGGTCTCTCCTTCTCGAAATCCCAGATCTGAGATTATTTAGACAATTGGTTGGCCGATTACACTTAGCAATTGTTGTTGTTGATTTTTTTCTTCTTTTTCAAGTACTTTAGAAAGTGCACAGAACTCCAGTTTGATTATATCGTGTCTATATCATGATTTTTATTTATTTATTTTTTTTATTTATTGGCAGATTATAAATGTTTTTTTTGTTAGATATAAATACTCCACCACTTCATGACATTAAAAAAAAGTATCCTATCATGAGGAAATATGTAAATAACATCTCGAAATTTTTCTTGATCGTGATTATTACTGATAATTGAAGCGTCAACATCGAAATATGTGCTTTTTATTGTGTTAATGTTGTAAATATAGAAACGTGTGCCTGTCAATGCGTACATTGTATCTTTATCACATTATCTGATAACTGGACGTATCAAATATTTTTAAGAAATTCAAGAGATACATTTAGAGAGATATTTTTAAGAGATACATTTTTTTGTAGTGAGAGTAAGTAAAATTACTTGGACCGTAAATAACATTTGACGCTTGTAACTAGTAATCACATGACCAAAATAGAAATTTTAAGTGATTCGTGTTCATGCGAATGATTCAATGATATTTCGTTTCTGACAAAATAATTGCGTGTACTAATTTATTGTTGCAATTTTTTAAGTCGTTTGGATATTGTGTGACTGAATTTCTTTTTTTTTTTTTTTTCTTATAATTTGTACTTTTAACAACGTCTCATCTCACCTAAATAAATTTATCAGGGAAGTACTTTACCAAATCTTGAGGAGATCCAAGAGATAAACATCAAGAACAACAATCGTTCTGGTGCACGTGGTTGAACTCTCCCGAAAATAAAATTGTTATCTGGGGTCAGTAAACAATTGACTCCAGTATCATAATCTTACGATAAAGGTAAACAATTATTTGTTGAGATTCCATTGTTTAAAATAACTACCTACAAAATTTGCGAACATAAATAACTCTATAGCCTTCAATCACACTATTGTTCCACATCCGAGTTGACTAAGGTTTAAATCCCGCTTAATACACAAATTTCGAAATCAATCAAAGGACATTTTGAAACCATGAATGTTTAAGAAAAAGAAGAATAACTACGAATTTAGACAAGTAATGTCACTGTCTAACATCAAACTCCTCTAATGGAAACTCTAATAATATCTAGATTACCCTGAAGCAAATATTCACTTTAAATACTACATATTTGATAAATTTTTTCATACAGCGTACACAACCCTATTGACACAAGCTTAAGCTCTTTTAAAAACTAAATTCCATTTCCCAGCTCCTGAACGCCAAGGAGGAATGAAGAAAGCGTTGAAGAGTGATAAGTATGCTAAAGTCAATAAAATTAGGCACTACCATACTTATTATACACAAATACTGTAGAAAACCCTTCAGATTACTTTCCATTTTTATTGTTTGATTAGTGGTAAAAAATCTATATCAAATCATAATGCTAACGTACAAAATTTTTTTTAATTAATTTTTTTATCCAGTATAGTTTTTAAAACTTTGTTACATTTTATTTATCGAAAAGTGTCACGATGTGAGAAACAGTTGACTCGTTGGAATTTAAATTAAAAAATTGCTGTCCCAATTAAAGAAGAAGAAAAAAAAAAGAATCAAACTAAATACATTTTTGCTGGTACTATATGGGCCCGGGTACAAGAGCGTTTATACGCGTCGTGATCAGCGCTTCCGTCGGGATCTAAATGAAGCCCATAATAATCGTGTCCCTCCTACCCTCGTAACGACAAGCTCCTCGTATATGTATCTATGTGTATAGAGCCGGTGTGCCAACATATGCAAACTCGCTGCCGAGCGCGAGCGCGATTGTAACGTTCCGGCTGTGTAGTCTTGACAGATAGAGAGCTGGCAAGCGCTTGTCACGTTTGATTTATGGCCAAGAGCCGGAGAGTCGGTATGGTGGCTTCCGCGCGCACATACGAGCGTATTGCCTACTCCTTTTCCGCTCCGCGAGGCGCGAGTGACTTATCTATTCGGCATGACGCCTGGCGCGCACTTGCAAGCTCATTCGCGCGGATGCCGGCTCCTGCCGTTTCTCCGGTTGCCGATCATCGAGGGAAACTACATGGCTGTTATCTAAAGACACAGTTACGCGTGTAAGGATCGGAGACAGATTTTGGAACTGACATTTGTTTTTAGTCTTGCGTGCTCCCAATGTTACCTGCAAGATTTTGTTCGTATGCAATTTGTTGATAATTTTTTCCTGTCCGATTTGTCAATTAGTTTTACGTAATATCGTTTTAGGTTCTGGTGGCTTAGGTTATTATGTACATAATCTATCTTGATGAATAATTGGGACTGGTTGTTAATTGCTTTAGTAATTAAATGTAATAAGTGGTGGAGATCGATAAAAAATATCTTTCAAAATCGCGTAAAAGTGGTTAAATTACCTATGTTACTGTTGTCACTTATTTTAAATATTAAAACCGTCGTAATTAATTATTTCGACACGTGGTACATGATCGTAATGTAGCCATATGCTCTAAAGCGTTTATCAAGAGCTGAATTCTCTCAGTTGGATCAGCCACCGTAACCCTGTAATTTGTATCTATACCCTATAGTTGTACAGTTAGAGATCTTATTTTTATCAGAGCGTAATGGTATAGCCGTGCGAACATCCTCTCCATATCTTTGTTACGTAACAACTCCCACCCTCAGGATCAGTTCGATCTTGCTAATAACGATGACTATTTCCACGCGAACTCTTATTACGGTCAGCATCGGCGGTGCTGATTGAATGATTCGGCAGGTTCTGAGCTCCCAATAGCCTGGCTCGAGACTGTGATACACGTATACACATAAAAAACCGTTTCCCAGATTAACAAGATCCCTTTCTTTCAACTAACTACATATTTATACTCTTTGCGTTCCCATGACTCCGTGTTGTTTTTGTCCCAAAAAATGATGTAGCAGAAAATTTTACACTATAGCTATAGGTGTATACACTACGTCAGATGTAGTAAAACGTAAGAGCAAGGACTCACCGGCTGGCTTGGGTACGTTCCTTTTGACTTGCATCCACTTGTAGGTCGGCACTTGCAGCTGCTGAGGATTGTGATGATGCTGCGATTGTTGATGTTGTGGTTGTTGTTGTTGTTGTTGGTGCTGCGAATGGTGGTGTTGGTGTTGCTGCTGCTGTGGCGGTAATGCTGACGATTGTACCTGGAGGAGGTGATGGTGGTGTGGCTGATGGTGGAGGTGCTGTGAGTTCACGTGGTTCGGGTGCATGCCCCCGTGGACCAGTGACGGCTGCATGTTATGGTAATTGACTACATGATCGGAAATCTCCTCCTTGAAGTGCTGCTGCAGCGGGTAGCCCTCTTGTCTGACGTTGGGACTGGATGTGTATTGTTGCTGCTGCAGAGGATCCTCGGTTTGTTGTTGCAGTTGGTGCAAGTAACCGGAGTTGATAGGCTGGTGGTAATCGCTGGAATCATGACTAGACTGGTGTTGCTGCTGTAACTGTTGGTGATCCTGGCGATGGATTGCTCCGACTTGGTGGTGAAGGCGCTGCTCTTCGGTCTTGAAAACTGGAGACGGCTGTTGCGGCTGGACATGCAACTGCTGTGGTTGCTGTTGTTGTTGTTGTGGCGGGTGTTGGTGGTGGTGATGGTAACTCTGATGTTGGTCGACGACAGCGCAGCTGTTGTGTGAGCTCGCAAAGGGCGACGAGGACGGGATCGCGTTCACGTAGTCAAGGTTCATGTAACTCAAACCGTTCTCCGACGAGATGATGGCTGTGCCATCTTCGTGCAAGCCAGCACTCGCCGAGTAGAAGCTCTGTGGTGGTGTGACTGTTCTACTACTATTGCTGTTGCTTGTGGTCGTAGCTGTCGTTGGCGTCGTGTTAGTGTCGATCCCGATAAAAGTGTCCGAGCTATTGCTGGTCGACGAATAGGATGCGCTAGGCTGAGGATAATAGTGTGCCACGTTGGTCGGGGTGGTGGCGGTGGTGTTGCTGTTGGCCGCGTTGATAATCGTTTCGGGTTGCGGTGGTGGCGACACGGGCACGTGGTGATGATGGAGATGGTGGTAATGATGACCAACCGAGCCCTGGATATGGTGGTGGTGATGATGGTGACCGCCAGCGTATCCATAGTTGGAATAAGTGTCGGACTTGCCGTAGGTTCCGTACATACTCATATCCATCATCATCATCCTCGCGGCGGAATCGTTTTTATCCTTTCACAAGTCAAGACCAATGAAATTTTCTTCTTGCGTCAGCTTAGAACCACAAAACTAGAATACTGAAATGTCCTTGTAACTTGGCAATGTTGGGTAATGTTAACATTCTAACCTTGAGTCTATGAGAATCGTAGGCGACTATACACGTCTCACCTACATAACTTTTCTTGTCCCTTACAAAGCCAGTGATCCGTAATTTATTCTCAAGTCACGTACAATTATTGGTCACAGTGCCACGACACCACGCACAAAAATTATCACCACGCACCTTCAAACGATTCTGCAAACCCTCAGCACAACCCCGACGAAACCATCATCCAGTTGTACCAGTCCAGTCGTCACTGCTCGCGAAAAAAAAAAAACGAAACCAAATGCGCTTGCCAAGCTCGAAGTCGCACCGTCGAACGCCGAGAGCAAACTAACGCTGCTCGGGTGCACGCAGGTAAACCAGGTGAGAGAACGAGCGAGTGGCTTTGCTACCGTAGAGCTCGCCCCTACTCTGGCGCTGGTCTCCAGTGACAGTGTACGATAGGATCGCCCAGTACATATCTACCTATCGGTATAGGCGAGCGGATCCTGCGCCTGCTCCGTTCCGTCTCTCCTCGGTTCCCGAGGAATAGAAAGGTTGGAGGCAACTCGGAGGCGGGGTCTAGGCTCCGGGTAACCGTCACGTGGTACCAGCTCGGGAGGGCGGGGTCGGCCAATCCGGCTAGCCAGCCTGACGCGTTGCCCGCTCCAGCATGATGGATCATCCTCTCTGTCCGATTTTCTATACCTGCGTGTATATATATTGTACGCGTATTTTTTTTAAATTTATTTATTTTTTCATTTTATCTGGCTCGATGCAGTTGACATGTATCGGTCTATACAAGTGCACGCATGGATGTGTGTGTGCGTGTCGTTCGTGTAAAAAGCAATATCAGCAGTAACTTTTCACAACCAGCTGTAGCAACCACCAGACTGGGACGTTAAAAACGTGAGCGCATGTCGGAGGTATCGCGCGTATCGCTGCTGTCTCCCCGGACATGCAAGCCGTGCTCTTCCCTGGGTGGGGGAAGTGTCAACTCTTCGGCGAGAACGGTCTTACTCTTCGACGATGACTCGGCTCGCAACACCTGCGTCCGATGCTGTTTTAATTAGGCCCGGCGTTTGACGAGTTCATCAATCGATGCGCGCTAAATTACGTTCTTCGCGCCGTACGGTACCGCGCTTCCGTACATGGCGTATTCATAGCTTGGGGGAAGGGTTGTCAGCGTACAAGTATTTACAATCGAGCCCCCGAACTTGGACGTTGAGCCAAAGGACCTTTTTTTTCTCTCTTAATCTTCCAGTCAGTATATGGCAAGAAACTTGTACGACACGTACAACCAAAGCTTAATCAAGCAATAACTCAGCGTAACCGTCAACTGGAGGGCAAACAAAAAAATTCTCTTAGCACCTCCTCTCGTCTGTATAGCAGCCGGTAATGTATGGTACCGTGTACAACAATGCCCGGAGATGGATTTCCCTTTGGACACGCGGGCTACCAATTTGTGACTTTTCGGGGCCGTTTGGCGAAAGAACGGGGAACCCGGCTATACGGATTCATCATCCGAGGTGTCGTCGAAAACTCGAACCGACAATGCCGGGCGAGCATATGGGAGGGCCATATATATATTCATGTGGGGCACGGTCCGAGAGTAGCTCCTTTTAATAACGCCCCGCGCGCACAGAGGCTCTACCTTTGACTTTCTCGACTAACAGATACGTCTTCCTCACGTCAGGGGATATGTGTGTCACGGGGATTTCGGCTTGTGTAGTCAGCTGCTGCTGCCTTTGCGCGAAACCTTCTCAATATACGCCCAAAGAGAGCCCGAATTCTCGCGCACTGTACCTCTTCTCTAAACTCCGTCGTCCATCGCTGAGGACTTTTCCCTCTTTCCCCCCCCCCTATTTTATCGTGCGTGGACTCTCCCGAGCAATCGCTCAATCAAGATCTCAAATCTTGAGAATGCGAAGGCGACAGGGGCGTAGCCGAGTGTTGGGTATTGTGCATCAGCTCCTTTCGCGGGTTTGTGCGCGAGTTTGTATTTTCCAGGAGGAGGGAAGGCTGAAAAAGCTCAGGCGAAGCGTGATGAGCACTCCGTGCTGGATGGGGCGTGGAGGGCCGATAGGAATTGGCCATGTCGAACATTTTATGGCTATATATGTCCCTTGCTGTTGTTGCTTTTGCTGTTTGAGTGGTGTTTATCGGACGTGAGAAGCATGCGTATTATTAACGCGTGGATGTTTGGCGAGCTCAAGGTGATGAAGACAAATGATACTAGCCGAGGACAGGGTCGAGTGTTATTTTACAACCTCTTGATTGGAATGTATCTTCTCCGGTTGGTTAATGGAAATGTAATTGTGCCGTTTGGCAGGTTTTGACGTTTTGATGATTAAACGTTGCGTGGATGTTGCATTCGTGGTATCTATATTGATTCTTTTTTTTTTTTTTTTTTTAATTGTTTTGAAACAAAACAAAAGAATTGTTGTAGTTTCAAACAAGATTTTTTATTTCTAATTTCAGAATAATGAATATCAAAATCTGCGAGATTAAGCTTTTTTTAGGCACTAGTGACCTTAATCCATCGAAAAGGATAACCTGAATTTTTGCATGGTTTTCACCTTTTGAGCTTGCAGGATATTTTTTTTTTTGAGTATAGGTATAGAATCAGATCCAATTTATGGAATCTTTCGAGTGTCAGTTCTTGAATGAACACAAGTCAATGATAACATGGCCACAATTTAACATCTAATGATTTCAAGTTTTTTATCATAGAGTTTTTGTGGTTAGTATAAGGAACATAGTTTGAAGACTGTTGATTATTGGCCAGGGCAAAATCGACTCTTGCAAAGTAAAACTTTCTATTGGCAATCTTGTTACGTCAGTCTTTTTGAAAAAAACAAACGTTTTTATTTGTTATAATCACAATATGCAAAAAAAACGTTTTCATGATACAAGAAGTCATTTAAAGATTTTAATGTTGTAATGTACTAATGCAATTAAAAAACTATAGCGACATATACATTTAACGTTGTTGATCACCTAAGGTAGTATTTTTATACTTTTCTACTTTAGCTCACAGTCTAGAAAAAATCGGAGAAGATGAAGTGACGCTCGGTAAACTTGAAAGGCTACAGGAGCCATTAATCATCGCATTAGTAAGATGTTAAGAGAATCAATAACTCTAGATGTTGTGATACTACGAACCCTTTTAAGGATTAATTGGCAGTTTTTATGTACCTATCCTTTGTCAATAAATTAGCTCAACTAAGTAGCTTATGTCAAAGCTGACAAATGTCTAAGTCAAGTTTCGTATTAACTCGTACAAAAAGAATTAAGTGCTGCATCAATTTCACCGTAAGAACTGTATGGTAGATATGAAACAACGTGACTATTACAAAAAAAATTTTTTCACGCTTTTTCATAAATGTAAATTGCAGAGCGCAGTTTTTTCAATGATATTTCGTTTCTGACAAAATAATTGCGTGTACTAATTTATTGTTGCAATTTTTTAAGTCGTTTGGATATTGTGTGACTGAATTTCTTTTTTTTTTTTTTTTCTTATAATTTGTACTTTTAACAACGTCTCATCTCACCTAAATAAATTTATCAGGGAAGTACTTTACCAAATCTTGAGGAGATCCAAGAGATAAACATCAAGAACAACAATCGTTCTGGTGCACGTGGTTGAACTCTCCCGAAAATAAAATTGTTATCTGGGGTCAGTAAACAATTGACTCCAGTATCATAATCTTACGATAAAGGTAAACAATTATTTGTTGAGATTCCATTGTTTAAAATAACTACCTACAAAATTTGCGAACATAAATAACTCTATAGCCTTCAATCACACTATTGTTCCACATCCGAGTTGACTAAGGTTTAAATCCCGCTTAATACACAAATTTCGAAATCAATCAAAGGACATTTTGAAACCATGAATGTTTAAGAAAAAGAAGAATAACTACGAATTTAGACAAGTAATGTCACTGTCTAACATCAAACTCCTCTAATGGAAACTCTAATAATATCTAGATTACCCTGAAGCAAATATTCACTTTAAATACTACATATTTGATAAATTTTTTCATACAGCGTACACAACCCTATTGACACAAGCTTAAGCTCTTTTAAAAACTAAATTCCATTTCCCAGCTCCTGAACGCCAAGGAGGAATGAAGAAAGCGTTGAAGAGTGATAAGTATGCTAAAGTCAATAAAATTAGGCACTACCATACTTATTATACACAAATACTGTAGAAAACCCTTCAGATTACTTTCCATTTTTATTGTTTGATTAGTGGTAAAAAATCTATATCAAATCATAATGCTAACGTACAAAATTTTTTTTAATTAATTTTAATGATTCAAAATTATCGCTAATTTGGCTGTATCTCCATTATTTACGGAGATACGGGCGTTTAAAGTTTTGGGTATTGTTATAGCCGAAAATTTTGAAATTTGGACAATGCCGAGGCCATGTAGTCGTTCGTAGGGAATCATTTGACTGTTCGGAAGGCNAGGAAATAACTTTATACACTATTTGTGTGTCGCACTGCTTGTTTTTCGATTAAAATATTTTCTAATAGATAATATATTCTACATCACAGTTGAAGTCGTTAAAAAATATTACTGTTTTGGGCCTAATCCTACTAGCTTTGTAAGTTGATACACATTTTAGTAAGATTGTAAACACAAAGTGTTGGCATTACCAGAAAGCTTCCAAAGTTCGGTGTCCTTCGAACAGACCAACAGCCGTAATCTATACTCCCACATCCCTCTTAACTTCTAAAAGAAAACAACAGGTACCAGATCGGTAGCGCAGGTAAGTTTCCCCAATCTCAAGTTTTGCACTCTAATTTGAAGAGTCGGACGAGCCGTGTGATTGTCAGTTGTTGTACTCTAATGGACTTTCCCACAGCTGAGCCGGACAAATTTCAGTTTAT